GCATTAGCAATTAACTAAAATTAAAATTTAATTGCATTAGTCTTAGAAGCCCAAGATCACAAAATTCTGACATCATTAAGGCCTTCAAATGTCTAGCAAACGATCCACGATCAAGGGATTCAATATCAGCCGTCCATCTAAACCACTCCCTATTTACCCTTGATCTTCCTCTTATTTATGGGTCATGTAACTCTAGGAAATTTATAAATAAAGCCCTCCTTCCTCTTGAAAAGGGACCGCTAAGCCTAAGGAGAAAAGAGAGAGATCGAAAATCACTCTTGCCTCCTTGCCTCCTCGACCACAGCCTGGAGTTCCACCGGACCACCACTTGAGGCCCTGAGCTCTGTTGGACCACCACGAGAGGCACAGAGTTATGCTGGACCACCACCTAAGGCCCAGAGTTATGCTGGACCACCACTTGAGGCCCTAACCTCCATCAGACCATGACCTGAGGTCCAGAGTTCCACTTGACTACATGAGACCCTGAGTTCCGTCAGACAACCACTTGAGATCCTAAGCTCCGTCGAACCACTACCTGAGGCCCGAAGTTCTGCCAGACCACTACCTAAGGCCTTATGTTTCGTCGGACCATTACTTGAGGCCCTGAGCTCCGTCGGACCACCACATAAGGCACCGAGTTCTGCCAGACTACCACTTGAGGGCATGAGCTCCGTCGAACCACCACTTGAGGCCCTGAGTTCCTCCGGACCACCACCTGAGACCCGGAGTTGCGCCAAACCACCACGTGAGGCCTGGTGCTCTGCCAGAACACCACTTGAGGCCTAGACTACCGCTGGACCACCACTTGATGCCCGGAGTACTCCCGGAGTTCTGTCGGACCATCACTTGACACCCGGAGTTCCATATAACCACCATCTAACACCGGAATTCTGTCGGACCATCGCCTGACGCTGAAGTTCTACCAAACCAACGTTATGCTACCAACTAAAGCCCGAATTTTCAAGTAGCACCGAAATTCCGCCAGTCCACCAAGTGACGCTGGACTTTCATCGCCGTTTGTTAGTACATTTCAACCAAATAGTTGACGTTTGTAATCTGATCGCCCTTAGGGACGAGTCAGCCCATTATAATCTACCCAAATACTAGTGGAATTATTTTAGACTGGGGCAGGCCCCATGATTTTTTTCCTTTACAGGGTTTTCTACGTAAAAATATCTTGTATTCTCTGTGTGAGTTGGATATCTGTACAATGCTAAGACGTATTATTTTAACTCTATCGCCGCGTATATTCTAGCTCGTAACAATATGTATGTTTAAATGCCACATTAATGAGCTACAAGGTGATGAAATAAAGAAATTAAAATGAGAATGAATATTTATGTAAAAAACATTAAACAAAATATGCATACAAGTAAATTTAAATAAGAAGAATGTGTGCTAATGCAAATTAACTCTGAAAGTTATTTGGGTTTCGTTTGGGACATTTTTCTTCCTGTTTTCCAGAGCAACTTTTTAGTTCAAAAATTTCTTGAAATTGAAATTTTTGTATGAAAAAGCTACTTTAGAAAGCAGTAAAGACACTATCCCAAATGAAACCTAAATCAACATATAAGTGATTGTGAGTTATTCAGAAAGAACATCAATAACATAAGGAAAAGAGAGAACTTGCAGAAAAAATTGATGTTGCTTTGTAGCCAAAGCATTAGCCACATTGCAGGGAAAAGTCTCAAGAAAAAACAAAAATGAAAGGAAGCTAACATGTGAAGGCATGTGGAAAGATTAATTGTGGTCATTTTTGGAAAGCAACTTTTCTAGGCATGAAAAAAAAAACAAAATTATTAGATGTGGATTATATTAGTGGTGTAAGTGAGTTAAGCAGGCTCAAGATTGACTCGTCAACGAGCTCACGAGTCAAACTTATCAAGCAACGAGTCGCTCTATTAACTTAAAATCATTTTCTTGGCTCTTAAACTCGTTGAGCCGCTCGATTAACTTACAATATATTTTAAATAAAATTTAAATTAGTATTATATAATATACTTCAATATTGTTAAATTAATTATATATTCCAAACAAGCTTGAGCAATCAAACCGAGCTCGAGCCTATAAAATTGGATATGATCTAATTCAATCAAGCAAGTTTGTCTAGGGCGGGTTAGCTTTATCTACTTTAGTTCATCAACAAGCCTGTTTGTAGGGGTGTCAATATTCGACACAACCCGAAAACCAACACCCGACTCGAAAATTTCGGGTTTGGGTTAGGTATTTCGATCTGTTTTTAAAATCGGGTTGAGTTCGGATTGGCCCGAAAACCCGAAATCAACCTAATTTGACCCGTTTTTAATTGATTTAGGAGAATTTTAGAAGATTATTATGAAATAAGTAAATGTTATTTCCAAAAAATAATAAACCACGTAGTCCAAACTGAATAAGTTTGGTTTATTTTAAATTGATTGAAGTAAATCTTACCTTAATTTGATTTAGTTGAAGACATATATATAGACATATATATATATATATATATCGCATGTGCTTGGACAAGTAGGGCAGGAAAACTTCAAAAAAAAAATTAAATAAAAAAATTTTAGTAAAACATAAAAGAAGTGTGTCAAGTTCAGGTCGGGTTAAAAAAGTACATTGTTAGATTCAGGTTCAACCCGAACCCGACCTAAAACTCACTTTTGACAGCCCTACCAGTTTGATCTCCATAACTCGTGCAATTCCGCATATTGGGGTATATAATAACCACTTATCTGTCATTCTTCATCTCTAAAATAATTTTCCTAACCTGCTGAATAAGTAGTAGGTAAGAAGTCAATAAAGCTAATAAAAATTTTTTTAACAAAAAGCAATCAAGATAGCAGCCACTACAAGCCATCATTAACCATTAAGAAACTTTCTCACTGGCCACTGAGAATGGTATCATAGCATATACAATGCTCTGCTAAGGCCAAAACCAGATACAAAAATGCAAATGGATGAACAGACTGCTACTGCTATAGCAGCACTTATGATGGGCAGCAACAAGCAATCAATAAGCAATGTAGTGGCCATAGTGGGTACCACCACTACTATCTACCAATCTTACACTACAAAGTTCCACTGAACTCCTGCCTTTGTGTGAGCTCCAAGCTCATTATTATTCCATCTCCTCTTCCTCATGATGTGACAAGCGATGACAAGAGCATTATGCCAATGTATTTTTGAAGAAATTACGGAGCTTCATTTAGGACGGTCTTTTACTGCTTCTGAAAGCAGTTTTATAATGCAAAAAATTTAAATTATGTATTACAAAGCTGCTTTAAGAAGCAATAAAAAATTGTTCCAAATAAAACCTAAATTTGAATAGTATTTAACGTTGCAGGTTCCTTGTGACACCTAATGCAATATCTAGTTTCTACAACTTGGTCGTTCTTATCTATTCTTCTAATAATTGAAAGAAATTTCATCTTGCTGAGCACCTCATGGAATGGTAGATCTTCAACACATCTCCCGTTGTTCACAACAATATTAGATTGCTGTTAATGTTTCCTGTTATGTCCTGGAATATTCACGACAATAGAGAAATGCAAAGTTTAAATTCTTAGTTTTGTACGAAGATCCAGCACACAATCATATAAAAAAAAGAGTTTAGCATTCATAAGAGACACTGGAGTTTTTACGTGGAAACCACTGAAAAAGGGGGAAAAATCATGAGGCTTGACCCAGTTTAAATGAATCAACTAGTGTTTGCAATAAATTACAAATGAGACATTTCCTTGGGGGAAAGGCCTTGGTTTGATGTAGCAAATATACATCACAGAGAGTGCATTAAATGGTGGGAATTGAAAGAATCAATATTGACAAGTTTGTTTAGTCGGTAGAACCATAGTCGGCACGCGACGGAGGTTGGAAAGACTGTAGTCTGGTGACGGTGGTCGGAAGGACCGTAGTCGGTGGGCAACAGAGGTCGAAAGGACCGTTGTCAGGGGATGGAGGTTGAAAGGACCAAAATCGGCATTCGATGAAGGTCAGAAAGACCGTTATCTGGCGACAGAGGTTGTGAGGACCGTAGTCGGCAGACGATGGAGGTCAAAAGGACTGTAGTCGGGGGTGACAGTGATAAGAAAGACTGTTGTCTGACGACAAAGGTTAGAAGGGCCGTAAATAGTGGGCGATGCAGGTCGAAAAGACCATAGTCAGTGGTTGAGTAGAAGTCTGGGGTTAGTCAATGTCTGGGTAGAAGTCCTGCGTCATTCAATGGACGAGTAGAAGTATGTCCTCAGTCAGTAGTCAGGCAAAAGCCCGGCGCTAGTCGGTGGCAAGGCAGAAGCCCGACGATAGTCTTACGATTGTCGGTGGTCCAACGATGATCAAGGAGTCTAGTGGTAAGAGAACTCTAATTTGTCTTTATTCCTTCTCTTCCTTCTCCAACTTCTCCTCCTTGTTAGGGTCATCTTCCATGAGGAATGTGGGATTTATTTATAGTTTTCTGAGAGTGGCATGACCAATAAATAGAAGGGAGATCAAGGGTATGTTGGGAGTTGTTTGAATGGATGGCCGATATCGATCCCCTTGATCGTGGACCGTTTATTAGGCATTTGAATATCTTACAAAATCTTGTCAACTGTATGAGGCATTAGATCATTAAGAGCAACCTTGCACTGCCAACTGCTAAAGAACAAGAAGTAATTGAAAAGAAAAATAAATAAATAAAAACTATTACAATATAGGTAGCATCCAATAACACCCGAATAATTGCTAATCAATGGCAATTATTAATTGGCAAGAATTGTTGAAGATGCGGTCTTAAACTGTGTGATTTCTGGCAGGATGACACATATTATGCCATGCAGCAGTTGACTTTGAATATGCTTTTAGGGATTATTCAATTCTTATGTGTTTTTCATAGTTAACAATTAAATTATTTGCAAATCCAAAAATTATGAAAATAACCTTGTTAAATACAACAAATGATGCGATATAATGTTTAATATAGTGCTTTATAATTTATAAATCTATTATATGTTTCAAATTAATTACTAAGGCTTCATTTGCGACAGCTTTTTGACTATTTTTTAAAGTAACCTTTTAGTACAAAAATTAAAATTTTTATAGTAAAAAATTGCTTTAAGAAGCAGTAAGAAAGTCGTCCCAAATAAATCCTAAATTAACAAAGCGCGATAATACCAAAACTGCTAGTTTTTAAATGTTTCCAAGTCATTCCACCCTCATCATAAACTGCTCTTCCACTATCTCCTTAAAGTCAACTGAAAGACTAAAAAGTAACTACTCTTGTATTTATTCTACCTTTACTTCACATCATATCTTTTTGATGGCAGAAGGCCATTGAGCTAATGGGCAGATATGATTGTATATTAAGATCTTAAGCCACCATTTTTGACAAATTCAACACTGTTTTAAACCAAAAGCAAAGTCTCACTTCACTAACAAATGATATAAAATGAACGTTTTTTGTGATTTTAACTTATATAAGCACTTACATCTTCATATCTTCCATACTTGCAACTGCTGCCATGAAGCTATCAAAGCTTTTTGCTTTCTTTTGTTGTTTGATTCAAGCTTATTTCTTATGCTCTGAGACTGTTTTTGACTGTTTAGTTGTTGAACGAAGGGCCCTTCTTCATTTCAGAAAGAGTCTCAATGATCCAGAAGGCCGGCTTTCTTCATGGCGAGGAAGTGAATGTTGTTCATGGAGAGGAATAAGATGTGATAACCATACTAGTTCAGTTACTTTCATAAAGCTTCGCAATCCATATCCAAATATTGGTAGTTCTGTGGATTTTACATCTCATGGTTTTTGGAACTTGAGTGGAGAAATAGATTCTTCTTTGCTCCAGCTGAAGTCACTTGAACAATTAGATTTGAGCTACAATACATTTGGAGGCATTCCAATCCCTCATTTCTTTGGTTCTCTGAAGAAGTTAAGATACTTAAACCTATCAAGAGCTGGATTCTCTGGCAATGTGCCCGTTCAGTTAGGAAACTTGTCAAGGTTGCAATATCTTGATCTTTCTTCAAGTTTTCCACCTTTAGTTGTTCATGATTTTCATTGGGTATCCAGTCTTTCTTCTATGAAGTTCCTCTCAATGGACTTTATTGATCTCTCAATGGCTGAAACGGGATTGTTTCAACCACTAAACAGGTTATCTTCCTTGAGAGAATTGCATATTTCAAGTTGCCAAGTGGTAGGAATTGTTCAGAACCTTCCATTCATTAATCTCACTTCTCTACAAGTCATGGATATCTCTTTTAACAGCTTCAATTCTCTGATCCCCAAATGGTTTGCTAACTTAAGTAGCTTAGTTCATTTAGATTTGAGCAATGCAGCTTTTTATGGTCCAATCCCTGAGATATTCAGAATTTCTAGCTTCAAGATTATTGATCTATCAACGAACAATAATCTCACAACTGACATTTCTGAGCTTCTTGGTGGAAACTGGAGGCAAATAGAGAGCATTCGATTGGCATCAAATGGAGTGCAAGGATTTCTTCCTCATTCTATTGGGAACCTCACTTCACTTGTAGAGCTTAATCTCTTTGATAATAGCATTGAAGGTGGGATCCCAAGCTCCATGGGCAAGATTTGCAACTTGGAAACTTTATTTTTAGAGGGTAATAAGCTGACTCTTGCACTTCCTAAGTTTCTGGAAGTCCAAGGATGTTTATCAGATAAACCTCTGCAAAATTTATATTATTTCAGCATGAGTGTAAATGGAATTGGAGGTACTTTACCAGAATGGCTAGGAGAGCTCCAAAATCTCAGTGTCCTGGATCTTTCTTATAACATGATTACAGGTTTCATCCCACCATCTCTTGGAAATTTGTCACATCTCACTCAACTTGGCCTCGATGGAAATCAACTAAATGGTACTCTTCCATTAACTCTAGGATATCTTTCCAAACTTAAATTCTTTGGTTTTTCTTCAAATCAATTAACTGGAACTGTAAATGAGGAGCACTTCTTGAAGTTGAGCAGTTTGAAAATCTTCTTGATTTCTTCAAACTCTTTAACTCTTAAGTTTAGCTCAAGCTGGGTTCCTCCATTTCAGATTCGAAATCTAGCAATGAGTTCATGTAAGTTGGGTTCTCAGTTTCCTTCCTGGATTAAAACCCAGAGGGAACTTCAATTCTTTGACATCTCCAATAGTTCAATCTCTGGCAAGATACCAAATTGGTTTTGGGAGGATCTTTCTTTAAATCTCTCTCTTTTAAACATTTCATTTAATAAGTTTAAAGGTCGGATACCAGATCCCATGAAAATTGCTCCCTTTGCTGATGTGGATATGAGAAATAACCTTTTCAGTGGGTCAATTCCAATGCCCTCAACTCAAGTTGAGCAGCTTGACTTCTCCTGCAATCAATTTTCTGGTACTATTCCTTCCAACTTTGGCCAATTGCAACCTTACATTATCCACCTCTCCCTCGCCTATAACAATTTATCTGGAACAATTCCTTCTTCCATTGGATATCTTCAGGAGCTCCAAATCATAAATCTTTCAAACAATTTTCTAATAGGATCAATCCCTTCAAGTTTGCATAATTGTTCTTACCTCAAAGCTCTTATTCTTGAACACAACAATCTCTCAGGACAAATTCCTGATTCTCTTGGAAAACTTATACAGCTGCAAACTCTGCACCTCAACAACAATGACCTATCAGGTCTGATTCCTCAATCCCTGCAGAATTGCACCAACCTAGAGACACTCGACCTAGGAAACAACAATCTCAATTATTCAATTCCAGCTTGGTTAGGTGAGAGACTACCAGCGCTTCGAATTCTTCGATTGAGATCAAACAAGTTCACAGGTCAAATACCCTTTCAACTTTCTAATCTCAAATCCTTGCAAGTGCTTGATCTTGCCAATAATCACCTTTTCGGGGCAATTCCTCGTAGCTTTGGAGCCTTTAAAGCCCTAAATAGTCCATCGAAAGTAAACACTTATCTTCGATATGGCCATTACATAGGAACTTACTATGAAGAAAACATATCAATTAATGTAAACAACAGACAACAAATATACACCAAGACTCTCTCGCTTGTGGCAAGTATTGATTTATCAGGAAACAAACTGTCAGGTGAATTCCCAAAAACTTTGATAAATCTCTCTGGCTTGATTTTTTTAGACCTTTCTAATAATAATCTAACAGGAAACATCCCACAAAATATTAACTGCATGAAAGAAATTGAGTCTTTTGATCTTTCAAACAATCACTTTTTTGGTGAGATTCCTATTACTATGTCATCCCTTATGTTTTTAAGCAATCTCAACTTATCAAACAACAAATTTTCTGGAGTGATACCAAATGGTGGTCAGCTAACAACATTCAGTTCATCTGCATTTTCTGGCAATAAATTTCTTTGTGGTCTACCACTTGACGTGTTGTGTAAGGAAAATAATATTAATGTCAACGATACATCAAATAAGAATGGAGATGATAACAACGAAAATGAATTTGTAGATGAGTGGTTTTACCTAAGTGTTGGCCTTGGATATGCTGCAGGACTACTGGGAATTGTTGTTGTAGCTTTTATAAAAAAGTCATGGTCTAATGCTTACTATGAATTTATAGATTGGTTGGTTGTGCCTAAGAAACCAAAAAGGCTTAGCAAGAATACTTTTGTACAAAAGGAGATAAAATTCAGTGATAATTAAAATTGCATGCCATTCTAGTAGATTTTGTTCAATATATGCATCTTTTTTCTTTGCAACAACTATATTTCTTTCATATATTAAGATACCCTTGCCACTTTTTGTTTATGTCTGATATGATAAATGTTATCAATCATTGTGGACCTACAGGTATTGGGTTGTTTGTATTTCTTCTACCTCTTGTTTAAAGTTTTTTTCAAAATAAAAGCATCTACTTTTAAAGTCCAAACAACCTTTTCTTCTCCTTATCCATTATCCAATATGATTTTGGGGGTTTGCAATACATGCGATTTTTCTTGGATTTCATAGTTTGTTGGTATTTTTATGGATTTTAACCATTGTGATTTTGTTTTGGGGAGACAATTGATTGTTTGGAATTAGAAAAATGTCAAGTTTTTTGAAATTTTATGAATTTATTAGATTTTATCATTTGATTGGATGAATTAAAAATTAATATTAAATAGAAACTATATAAACACCTTCAAATTTCTAACCAATTCTTTGTACCAACCTTTCGCCTTTCCCCCCTACATTTCATTTTGTGATTTTATCCTAGCAACACTAACTTTTTGTTTGGAGAGATTAAAGAAAAATCTCAATATGAGAAGAGTGCTTGTTAGATACGCATTTAGGCATTTGTAAAAATTATGAGCTAGTGTAGCCTGTGAATAATCAAAGATTTTATATTCTAATCAACTAAAAATGTACATGCAATGCGAGCTTATATGTTGTAAGATAAAAAAATTGCAAATTGTAGACCAATTTATGCAACAAAAACTTCCAAATTTGTTCATAAATAATAATACATTCTGGAAAATTATAAATAAAATTTTCACTTATGTTTTAAATTAATTTCTAAGCAAAAGAAAATATTAAAATAAATTTAAATACTCTAATATAAAATTATATAAAAGGTAAATGCGTAAATACAAAAGATTGCTTGAAGATTTAATGCAATTTAAATCAACAACATCTCAAATGTCAATGGCTAGACCATGCCAGGTCAACAAGAATCTTTTTCCAAAAAAAAAGTCTCAAATAGTCCTCCTTTCTTGAGAATTTTTCTCAAGGATACCTGTTGAGAAATCCTATTAGCAGTCTTGACAACCTCTATTTCATGCAATAGCTTTTTCAAATCATGAATCTTCAAATCTATAATTCAAGTTCCACTAAGCATTTATTTAAGATCCTATCAAATTTGCCGCACCATGATGCATAGTGATTACTCGCATTTATTAGCATTGCTACCACAGCATGCTTAATATCCACATATTGCACATTAGTTGCCCAAGTGTGGAGCACACACCTTCTACAAATCGCTTGCTGCTCCTAAAGTATCCAGACATGTGAAGAAGCCAGAGCTTAATTGAAAATTTTGTTCTCTGCTCTATTTCAAGACGTTTGTACTATCAATTATCTATATGATCCATTGTATTATCACAAAACGCAACTTGCCTGAGGCTTTGAATTATCGCACAAATGTCGCACAAATGGGATCGATTCGGGGATACATGCTAGAGTTACACACCTAGTCACTCAAAATCACTTATTTTACTTGCTACTAGCCCTCATCGAGGAGAAAATTTGTCAAAACACTTGAGCGCCCTCACTATTTTATTTTATTTTATTTTTTCTTCTTCAAACCTGCCATAATTACTTTAAGCCATACTTTCCAAATGAATGTAACCTATCCTAGTCTCTACTTCCATTTCTTCTAGGAGCTCTCAAGAAATCTCCTCAAAGGTTCAACAATATTATTATCCAAAAATTGGTGCTTCAGCCTTCCCTGATATAGTTAGATCAGAAAATACACATTTAGCTCAATTTAAGATATAGAACTATCCTGAAAATTTTCTTAGATGATTGAAGAACATTTGTAGTCACAATTCCATAAGAAAATTACGATGGAAAACTTGTCAATATTATACTTGAGAGGTGTAACTTCAATGCCATACAAATTAGATGACAGAAAGAACCAAACCTTCATTTGAAAAGCAAAACACAAAATCTTAGTGAAGTATCTATTAATTACCAAGGACTGGATTATTTATCAGTGAGCAGAACCTACCTATCTTAAGGAGATAGAGCAGTTGACTAGAAAGAAAGCATCAAGGAAGTTTAAATTAAAGCTTTATCTTTACTTAATGTTTGCCTTTACTGGAAGAACTGGTTGTATCATTCATAACACACCACCTATCAGGACTCTTTGCTTTCATCTGTTGGGGGATCTTAAGAGACGGTCTTCGGCAGGCACTGGGAAGCTCTCCATGAAAAGATTTACAGATGTAAGTTTCAAAGTTGTCATAATCCTAGAAAACATCAAATAGCAGCCCATTAGTGTAAGATTTCAGATGAATCAAGATTCTTCTCTAAAACAGCATATCTTATGGGAAAGAACATTCAAATAATGCATGGCTAATCACCTATCATGTAGACGAAAGGTGTTTGCCCTAACAGTCTAAAGAATAGGCCAGAGTTTTAAATCCCCATACCAAAAAATAAAACAAAAATAATAATGCATAGCTTAAGAGGCCTCACAAATCTAATAAAAGATGTGCATCCATACGTATCTTTGATGAACCACAAACTTCCACAAAATGTTTCTTTTGGAATGGTAATAATTTACCCTAATGTAAAAAATCCATTAAAACAAGCTAATTAAAATAATTTCAATTTTGTGCGTCTTCCTTGGCCTTCCTGAATTAAAAAAAATGTCATCTCTTGTAATTGGAACAAATAAAATATAGTGAAATTTGTGTAGCAGTGGATTTGAGAGGATTAATCTTTAAATCATGTATTATTTGTCTTCTGTTTATCTTTTGCGATTTTCTTTCAGGTTAATTTATTATGTAGAAAAACTAGCACAGTGGATGTTTAAAGATAAAAAATATGATAAAAAAAATAGTTTCCAGATAACGAAAATGACAAAACTGACATCGTTGAAACTTAAAAGAGATGTAAAGGGCTAAAACTAACATCATAAAGCGGTAACCCATTCACAACCACCCAAGGTACATATCTATGAGAGGGTTGCAAAGCATTGGTTTGTGCTGCATACTGGAGTTCAACCTGCAAAATAATTTCCAATCACAGATAAAGTAAGACAAAAGTTTATGCTTAAAATTAATGAATCCTTTTAGGCAGAATGAATATGATATACAAACTACAATTAGATTTTAAAAAGAAAAACAAATACAATAAGTAAACATTGAATCATAGGCTTTTAGCAATTTTGATGGGTGGGATTGCAACCATTTTTTAGTAGTAAACAGGGGAGAAACCAGCACAAATGGCTAGAACATGGCTAAACAGTTCAATATGCACATGATTTTTTAGAATATATAGTTAAAAGAATCCAACAAAAACATTTGCAAGTCAAACACTTACACAGGAGCATTCTTGAAAAATAAACTTGATTGAGTTGTCTCTACCTAAAGGTATGATAAGGCTCTTATCAGTAGAATGTCAAAGGATGGCGATAGCTTGATTGAATAGCCTTATACCAGAGAGCAAAGAGAATACAATAAGTCCCTTACCTTGGGATTCAGTGATTGTCATGAAAGATGTTTAAAAATTTTGAAATATCAAGCATTATTTTCCTTCTTACTTCATCTTGTATGAGAGAAAAGATCTCATTTAGTGATGATAGATTTTCTCTATTTAGATTTGAACATGAACTTGATCGAAATCATTATTAAATCATGTAAGGAACATGAACTCTCTTTCTCTTTCTACAAATTATTTGAAAATTATTGTATCATCGTAGCATATCATCTTGCGATCTTGGAATAATTCAATTCAAGGCAATAAACATTTCATTGTATTAAAATACTTGATAACATGAATGTTACTATGCTGGTTTTTGAAATTTTAGTTTTTATCTCATACGCTCACTTTTTAATATGCTTGGTTGATGATAACCCAAACATCTTTCGTAATATAATGAAACATATATAACCTACTGATTTCAAGTATCATGGTATTCCAAAACCATGTCATGATCATGAAATTCATTACTTTATCTCAAAGTATAAACTTTGGGCCCTTCAACTCTTGAGGAGGATCCAAAAGGTGATGGATCTTTCTCTTTTCCTTAAGGAAAATCTTCATATAGTTTCACTTGTTCAAGTGATATAAGGCTTGTAGCCCTTAATTAAAAGTTCTTCCTTAATCTAACCTTCACTATTCATAATGGTTAACTCCTTGGAAGGGAAATTAAAGAAACCTAACATAATGAAGAGAATGAAGAATCCCGACAATAAGGAAAGATAATAAAGGTTAAAAGAAGGTAGCCTTAACCTCGCTTTGATAACATGCTCAAACATAGGGAAAATTAAAAAAAGACTGAATTTATTGATTGATTCTATATAAAATGTTAAAGTATATATAGACTCCTCCAAAAGTCTTACAATGAAAATAAATTGAAGCTATCTTTAAAAAAAAAGCTCCCAAGAGAGCCCGGGGGCTAGAAGAGGAAGAGGAGGCACACAAATTGCAATCTAACAGCCTTAAGAGAATCGATCCAATGATTAGAATCCTTAATCCATTTGCTAAAGCATCCCTATCAAGATTAGTTGACTTGAAGACCCCACGATCATTCAATAGATGTGACTTCATATGATTAGGTGTTTACAAAGTATTATATGTGAAGAGGAGATATTAAATCATTTATTTGTTTGAATTTTGACCCTCAAAGAAATGCAAAATCAATCAAACCTCACCATAGTTAAAAAAGCTCCATACAAAAATGATAGGTTCGATAGTCCTATAAAGGGGATGTTGAGAGGGATGTAAAGAAGATGAGCAAATTCTAGTTTCCTCCCTTCCATCACCATATAAATCTCTTTTATTCCTGATCTAGTGAAGAGCCAAAATAGATTCCTTGTGTTATCCACATCACCATGACCCAATGTTGTTGCATGTCAGAGGTGGTCCTTCACTATATTTACACTAGTAGATCAAGTTGTCATTTTCCATACCTATCTTTACAACAAAAGTTGTTTTCAAATTTTGACTAGTTGAAAAAATAAAGAAGAACTGCAAAATACAACGTGACATAGTATCTTATATTTCTTAAGTAGAAAAAAAAAAGTTACTTGAATAAAACAAACCTCTTGCCATGTCCACTGTTGTAGCAGTTCACCAAGGTTGTGGATCTAGCCTAGTCTTCTGGAAACAAGATTCCCAATCATTGTACTTATTCGCGAGGACTAAATTCTCAACACAATATATGAAACTGAAATGTCGTTGCTGCATCAAATTCAGACGAACTAATTTTTTATCCATATAAAATATCAGAAGTATAACTCCAACCAAAAGTAAACAGAAACAATAACCAAAGTTAAGGTTAACTACAAAAATTTGTAAACCATCGCTGCAACATGTAGGATCACCTTATATAATCTTCATACTATAAATGTGTGCTAGTAACAGGGAATTACATACAGTAAGATGATGCATTACCACGTCCGGCCAGGAATTAATAGCACAAGCTTCCACAGTGTTCAGAAAGCATTCAGACGGCCCATGCTGCAAATTAAAAAAAAAAATCTTTAGTCCAAGAAGACGTTTTCAAGCTCATTCCCTCAATTCCCCCTTCACCAGCTTTCAAATAATAAAAAATCTTTAAATGTAGTAAGTACCTGCATAAGAATAGTGAGTTGGGCCCAATCATAGCGTTTCCGTAGGGAACGAGACGGAGATCGACAATCGGAGATGGGCCGTCGGAGAAGTCTTGGATAGGGAGAAGACGATGAAGCGGGAAAGAAT